TGCTTGTTATCAGTAGATGCCTTGCCCTGTACTATGTTTAGATCTCGCTTGAGCTAAGGTAAGTCAGACGATTTAAACTTCTCTTGCCCTACATGGTTAATCCACGTGCAAAGTTCATAGCTCACCATCTTTCGGGATGCCTTGAGTTTGTATTATGCAACTAGAAATGTTACTAGCCATCAAGTATTTACAGTTCAACCCTAAACGGGATAGTGTCTTTGGTTCCACTAAAAAAAACGGTTCGTTTCTTCGATCTAGTCTGTCCAGTCTGATGACTCCTGACCCCAATAGCTATCAAAGTGCTTCTGAACAATCAGGCAAGATGGGACTTTTGTCGCATTAAGATTTATTTCATTACACAACCACTCTTTATCGTCGCCAAATTCAAGTATGGGTATACAAATAACATATAAACGGATAGATGATGTTTGTATGAATAATAGCCCACCTGATTAACATTGATTTCAGCTTATGCTAAGTAACAGTAGTCCAACCATATAGGAGGTCTTCAGAGCATACAAATATGTGTCCAAAACGTTCACAAATAATGGTTTAATTGTGCGAAGTAATCTACAAATGACTACACGATGGAATCGACCATCGGAGTCCTGTTGTCAGCATCTCAGCCTTTAACTATCCATCGATTTATTGAACGTCTCTTCATGTTGATGATATATTCCGTCGACATTGCTCCTTCATATAAATTTTTCACGAATGACAACCTAACGGTGTCGTTCTTGAATTAAGGATCTATGCACTGTCAAATTACACGAAAGACTTGGCCTTCGTTACACGCCATGTCCTCTTGGACCTCCACCTAATTGCAAGATGATTGACCTGAACTACAGCGAGGAAGGCGTGAAGATTCTATTGAACCATGGTAGATTGTGACTAATTTCGTTTCGTGTTGTCACGCTGTGGTCTGTCTCCCGCAGCATTTTAGTCAGCCTTAGGTTAGAATTGCAAACATGGCTTTCCTGGTGAACAATGACTGAGCTTCATTGGCAAAAGCTCTGAAAAGCTTTGCCCAATAGAATGGCCTCAGTGGACGCCATAGCGATTCTTATTCAGTTAGGAGCATGCGTCATTTTATTAAAGGTACACCTCAGTCAACTAAAGATAGCTATGCTACGAGCGCACCGGTGACTGAATGTTTCAAGAGAGAACACAAGTAGGTAATACTTCAAACCAAATTATATAGCACTTCCTTTCAGCCACTGTATGGATGATCAAGCTGTTGAGGGTTTCTGTTGCCAGTCAAAATCAGATCGATTGCTCTTAAGGAGATGGGCTCAGATGTTGATGCACATTCCACTGTGGGCGTTTTAAAACATGAGTTTGAAGCATGTGAAGGTTGAATTCAGTGCAATGGATGCAGTCCATACCATCAGGTTGCTAAGCTGACTAGCTTTGTAGCGAAACTTGGGATCTATATACGTATTAGAGGCGTTCCGTGCCCGTGGGAAGTGCCAAAATCATCCAAAGGCTTTTTAGTATTTTGTTTGGCAAAATAGTTGCTGGAAGTGGGATTTCCTGACGAGTTTGTTTGTTGAGTTTGTATCCCACAAATTAGCTGATCCCAAAAGAGGATTCACATATCGTGTTGGAATCAAATAACCCTTTTAACCATGATGGCCCACCCTAGAAATAATTGGTCTGGCAAGGCAGGTGTAAGCATTTGAGGATTCTAAGCTATTGGAATACTGACCGAGATCTTGTACGTCATATCCAGGATGTCAAAAACTGTAGAGAAAGCCAGATGAATGATGAGTTAGTTAGTGAGTGAAATGTAGATATTATTCTTCTGGTCTACAATTCGGGTTAAAAATCCTCTGATCTAATGGGGGCACTGGCTACCTGTTTTGCCTGAAGGATTAAATTTCGAGCAAGGTAACCTGTTTAAGGTGAACAAAATCTCGAGTAAAATACACCTAAACGTCCGTCTGGAGACAATTCAAACGAAGCCGAGGCAACCACAGGTATGAGAATTGAACCAAATCGAAAACCATCCACCTTCTGAAAGATTTCCTTATCAAACGGATTCCATAGAATTTTCCTCCCGTGCAACGTTTGTATCTCCCCAGTTAGACCAAAATAGAAGAAAATTGATAACCAGGGTGAGCCATATGGCGGTATTGTTTGATCATATGAGGGGTTCATCGTCTTGTGAGAAAACCGCATGATCTGACTAGCAAGTCAGTATAGGCAAGGGTTTATTACGGGCACACTTAGTTATTCATCGCTGATCCAGTAGAAGTCGCTAAGATACGTAATGCACTACTGATAAGGCAGCTGAAAATTAGCCGATAGCCCACCAACTTTGGCCTGGTGCAGCACATTCAGTTGTCTGGTAACATCACAAACCAGAGATTCAGCTGGGTTCTAGATGAGTCTCTCGTAAAACCAAATTTGTTTGCAAATGTGTTTATTTCGCTGGAGTCGCTAAGACGTTTGGTGAACTTATGTACTAGTGTCAGGTACCGACTGGGTCGCCAACTTCGTGTCACGTTGCGAGGACGTACTGTCAATGAGTCATCGAGTGAGTATATCCTTCGCCTCTGCCTGCGTTTACATAGGTTAAAAAAAGCAGTTGGTTACTTCGCGTCTAGTTAATGAACTGCACCTTAGAAACTATATGAACACAAGCCGAAATGGAAAAATTGCACACCCAACGGTGCACTGTGACCAGAAGTTTGCAGGGTGTTTGCCAGGGTCGGTGAACGTATCGAATGTCACTTCATCAACAGCCAGTAGAAAGACCAGTTAACAGTGTTGAAGATACGGTACAACTAAGGTGCTTACTTAAGTAAGACAGCTTTGTCAAGAACAGTTACTACGGGATAGTGTATCAGATGGCAGTGCAAAGTTCTTTGCTGTAAACATCAACTTAGTTTGTAAATCAGTGTACTATGCCTCTTGTTCTAGAGCAGATTTGCTGCCATTCTTGAAATTTTCCATCGTTCGGGCTTGAAAAGCGTCAGATGTCTAAGTGAATCTAAAACGGGGACAATAAAACTGCAATTGTCCTTTACGTTCTCCAAATGACCATCATAACTCCAAGTCTGCCTGAGCAGATTTGCTGCTCGTATGTTCGGGAAACATTTTGATCATCTAAGAAGCTCAGACTTAACAAGGGTTGGAATATATGAAAATTCAAGTGGCCTTTGGATACAGAGGTAAGGATGATCATCACCAGAAGTAGACGTCTTTCGGTTCAGTTGTTCAATTGACTTGCTTATCGAAAATGCCAAAAGGCGAAATGGATAGATGTTGACTGACTCTACGACCAATTAGCTCATAAATAGACGGGGTTAAAATTGCCACCGAAACGAACGTAAACTGATTCTCACACAAAGAAACAAGTGACGGTTTATTTCCGTTTTTATTTGATGGATGTCGCCCTGTAAGACATCAGTTCAGGTAGCGAGTCCTTCAAGGACTTGTGGGTCATTGTGTTAATGTCGACTAGGTCTTTCAAAATCTGCAAGCTCTGAGGAACTATTCGTGAATTTTCGGGGATCTAACGGTGGACGGAAGACTAAGTTGAAGCTCCCTGAAAGACCATGATGAGAAATTAGAGTACTCGTGCATCTCGGAATGTGATAAATTTTGTGCTGAATTTAGGCCGATAGTACAGGTGAAGTGGAAATTAGTCAGAAGTCCAATCAGTCACCAGATTAGGTGACATGAATGAAAAAAAGTGATCAAAAGTTGTAAAAATATGACGTAAAGCTAATGGCCTAGTAGTGTTTATTACACATTACGAAGTGGCTATTTCTGATCCTACGGTCAGTCAACTCTAAGATTCCGTTGACATTTGCAAATCATCAGTCTAATTAATAGTGAATGTGAGTGAATAGTTTTGATTATGCTTGAATGGACATTACTCACCAGAGGAAATCGCCAACATTAGGACAATGAACTGCGAGCATCTGATGCCAGTAAACATTGTGTTATCTCGAACGGACAAGCGACCACTAAGCGGGGTTATTTATTGCACTAGGATGTTCTACCTATTCGCGTGGGCAGCACAGTAACTTGGTAACCGACTGTGTGGACTTGAACGCACACCATCTCAGTTCGGAGCCAAAACGAGGACGGTCCATCGAATCGAATGAACCTAACGGTACCCCGTTTGAGGTGAATGTCGTCTGGCGATTGCACACAAACAAGCACACATACGAACAGAGTAGGTCCCACACACAAATAACCAACTGTTTTGTACAGTCCATTCAAAAAATGCATCGGTTCTATGCTTGAGTTCACCCCACAGAAAAACAGACAGAATCGCCTTGATTCTAAAGCGGTTTGAAAATTCTTGGAACCGATCGAGATCTCATTGTTCCAGAAAGGCTTGGTAAACAAATCCTCACAGATAAACATTCTTCTTATCAATGTTAAGCGCTGTGTGACTTTCATGAACAAACACATGTCAGAGTCACTAGGAATGAAATGGCCACTTGTCTCGGTCTTACTTTCGGCTCGTTTAAACAACAAGAAACGATACTGACCATTTATTGTTTAGATTAAATCGGAACGAAGAAGATAAGCTATTCGCCAGTACCAGTTTCCTTCAAATTGTGATATGGACTGCGGTTTCTGCGGATCTTTAAAATCAGGCTTACAAATTAGATCTCCATGAATTTTTCGACAAAACCCACCGCAATACTAGTGTACGAATGTGAACTCAAAGTGCCATCGACTTGAAATGATACGACTTGTGGTGGGTGGGAGTTGGGCGCCAGTGACTGATAGAAATGAAGCAGTCATAGCACGGTTTCTTATTACACAAAACCTCACAAATCACCGCTTTCCAAAAACTCAATCCGGAAAATCGAAATGGGTGCGAAACTTCGACTGATGGGTGAATGGTAGCGGATAATTAGGAAGCAACTACAGAGAGTCGTAAATGAACCCGGAATGCCAGTGATGTATCTTATTCCATCAAGCTCTCAGTGAAGCCCTAAGCAGACACGAATCAAAGACATATTTCAAAATTCGGTCTCTTTATTCAGAGTACATCCAAAGGTCCATCCTCCCAAGAAACTTCCCAAAATGAGAGCCGCCGACTTCAGTTTCCAGAAAAATTTGCTTCAGTATAGGATAAAAGCACATAGCTTGACAAACTCTTATCATGTGGAGTACGGTATGGAGTAAAAGGGTCTGTATTCCAGAGGATGACATAAACCGTCGGTGCTACACTCGGGCTAGTGACCAGCCGGAACATATGCAACCTGATCAGCAGACATTAACCTGATGGGTTATTTGCTCACCATTACCTTCTTAGTCGGTCAGCTTGGTTCACTTACAGAATGTAATATGCATGCTTGAAACTCCGACAAACCACTGTACTTTGAGATCTATTTGAAGTACCGCATGCAGTGCTACTCGGAAGTGAACATACCAATGAAGATACAATCGCATCACCCTACAAGAAAGTAATTTGAACGAAACTACTCAGGAAAAATCATCTGGTCCCGCGGAAGGTTTGCATGTTCCCGAAAGTTAGTCGTTTGCCCGCACTTTGACAGAGATTCTCCTCATGCATTTGTTGCCTTTTGATTCTGATTCGAGTACCGGAATCATCCACGATCACTAAAGCGACTAGAGCTGTTTAAACACTGTTCTGACTCGCGGTTACAGAATTCTAGAATTAGTGAAAATTCGGAGCACGAACCGTTCGTGAACCAAAAAATGGCCCATTTCTCCGGTAAAATAAATGTGCTAGCGTGAGTCATTTTGAACCATTTTTAGACAAGTGTATACTGCTAAATCCCTGGACCAATCTATTTGTTGATATAACACACTGCTTACATATTTATCTCTCCCAACCTGATGAACTAGTCTCTGATAACCAAAGAGTATTTGATTTCACCATTAGGTTTACCAGTGTGTGAGTGCGTGGTCACACAATCAAAACACTGGAGTTGTTAAACAAAGTCACACATCGAGAAACACACTCATTTGCAAATCAATTTGGTTTTCACGAGAGACTCAACTGAAACTCTAATTTATGATATGCTACAATTGAATGTGCTGCACACAGGCCGCCTCACGTTTCATTTGGCACGATATTGGAGATATCGCAATATATTTTCATAAAGGAAACTATTCACGAGGTTGCTGAAAAATCTTCGACAACGCACGACTGGGTTCGTCCTTCTTGGGGCTCATCAGGTAGATGCAGTCCCCGAGATTCCGTCAACCTTATGTTCTACTTAAACCCAAATTGGACTGTTTTCGAGAAGTACACTCATTTGCACGCATCTTTGCTCACTATATACCCTCTTGATGATTCTCAGCAAGGAAGGGAGACCTCCAGTAGACAAACTATTTGAGGTGACCAAGGTGTGGTTATAAACAGTCATTCATAGTGAATGATCTCCATATCTAGGTATGAAGTCCTCACTTCTGTCCTAGTATTACGAAGCAAACGCCTCTGGGGACCATTTGCACGCATTTTGACCACTATATACCCTCTTGATGGTTCTCAGCAAGGAACGGAGACATTCTGTAGACAAACATTTTGAGATGACCAAGGTGTGGTTATAAACTGTCATTCAGAGTGAATGATCTGCATATCTAGTACTGAAGTCCTCGATTCAGTCACTAGTATTACGAAGCAAACGCCTCTGGGGAATATTTTGGTTCTACACAGACTGACCGTGCCAATGAAACGATTCGAAATGGCCCACTTGGTGATAATTCCACCAACAGGTCTATTGATGAGTTTGTCCACCTTCCCGTTCAGGGTTTTCCTGGTTTGTTTGATTCCTACGACGGCCTCCAGTTTTTTCTATCTCTCTTTTTGCATTTATCATGTTTGTTTGGCAGGTTACGCCTTTTTGTTTGAGATAGTTGTTTCCATTATGCTGGGATAGTTCTTCCGTTTGACTGGTTGATCAGACGTTTTTCTGAGTTGACCTTGTTCATTCTGCGTTCAGTCTGGATTCCGACACCTTTGTAAAGCTGATGTTCAGCTGAGCTTCGTTATTCTTCTCGTGCTGGATCCACGTGCTCCGTCTATACTGTGTTCTCTGGTTTCATGTACCACACTTAGCATTGTGGTCGTGGGTTTCTTTTGTCCTTGGTGGCCTGGTTAATTTCAACATTTATGGTGATGACTGTTTTGATAGAGTATTACGTCTTCATGAAATGATAGTCTTACTTTGTTTGTGCTTAGGCTAGAATGTTGTCGTTGCTTCAGTTGGGTTCTTTCCCATCCTGATCTTTCCACACGTACGGAGTTAGAACTGATCGCTTTTTACCATTAAATTGGTGCTGGTGTAGACTGGTTTAGAGCTTCTTTCAGAAAAGCACCGAGCAACCAATAGTTCGCTAAGCGCACGTCATGAAAAATCTCAGGACCGACGCGAGGGTCGATGAACGATGGGGCAGAGATTCTTGACAATTAACAGGAATTCAGATCATTATACTATCTGCTGCGTGAAAGGTTAGACAAAGTGTCGCACAAAAACGAAATTTAATTGGCTGCAAAATGGCCGGCGGAGGGATACGGCCTTCAGATAACCGCTTAAGTCTACTGATTGAAGGATTACACGCCGGATCACTCCATGACAACCTGATGAATCCGATGACAATGGCGTCCATGTACCGGAACCTTTCAGTGCATAGCTAGAAGGTTGCCTGTTACTATGGCTTGACAAATAATCTAATTTCAGTCATAACAAAATGACACTTTGCACACCAGTTTCTGCCTGTGACCGAATTCCCATTCACAGCAATCATTCTGTGACCGACTGCGATGTTAGCAGCGCCTAAGCAGAATGAATACCGGTGGATACGTTAGCTAATATTCAGACAAATGAATCCTTCCATGTCTAGCCTATGCCAAATTTCGTTCTTGCAATCACTTGTGTTATTGAATTGATACCAATGACTCCTCTAGGCGTGGTTGTGCTCTGCTTACCTGCAGATGATGTTGAACTGTCTTGAGCATCAACTTGCAATGTGGTTCCTTGTGGTTCTGTTGCGGGATCCGACATTTTTTGCGTTGTTTCTTGAACGGCTGTTACCGTAGACGTTGCCCCGTCGATGGCACTTGTTTGCGCAACTTCACTGCTGTCGTCCTTTGCTGTCGTGATGTTGTCGGAAGCTGACGTAATGTTGGGGAAAGTGAAGAAAACAGACGTCAATGGATTTCGATGAAAACACTTATGTGGATTAGAAACTCTGCATTAGGGTCGGTGAACTGAAATCGGTGGAAATTGCAGTTGCGTACTGTTTGCTTTAAGAGAATTTTCGCACTTCGGAGTCTGTACTATGGAAGCGGATCTTTTCTACTCGAACGTCATACACGATCTATTTGTTGCGTCTACCGATCAGTCGTTTTGCTGCTGATTCTCTGATAACGGTTTATACAACAGTTGGTGACCCGAATAGTAAGTAATGACCACTTTCAACTCAGGCAACTAATCTGACGATTCTAAAATCGTGAGTGGCTTTGCTTACACCCATCTTACTTTGGCTTGAACAGTCCCCTTCAGTCCTGATGCAAATAATTTGGTAAATCAACACCAAATGGAGGAACCACCGAACTCCACTTTCGTTATTATAAGAACCTCACAGAAGCGGCAACCAGTTTCGCGTCAAAATTTATCCAACAGGGAACCCTGACAGGTAGGTCAGTCGACTGACACGACTTGGACAATTGTTGGGTCGTTGTCCGGTCAAACCAATCCTATCGCTTTAGTTTGAACGTGCTTACCAGGTCAGATATTATAGCCCAGGTGTTCCGCGTGCTCTACTGGAATAGTCGAAACACGCTCGCCTTGCGTGCCAGACGTCCAAAGCTTAGAGCTTCAACAAGGCTAGGAATATTCACTACTGTTGAGCCCTTGTAATAGAGAAACTGGAATCCAGCACTAATCAAATCAAGAGTCCACCTTGATTTTTTCGGTCATCGATGGGAGAAAAAGTTGGCAACACTACAAGAAAAATCACATCATTAATGAAGACGGGAAGATATCGATTTGTCATGTCAGTGTCTCGCAGTTTACTGAAAAGTGCGACTGCAAACGCAGGCCGAAATTTGAGCCACCTCAATAGTTTGACTTAGGCAGGTGTAATTTGATGTCCTTTCACTTTCTAATTGATATACCATGCTGATTTATTTGTGAATAACCAGTGGATCCACACTTACTTATCCATACATACAAGGTGGACCACGTCACTTGATTGCAACGGAATCGACCTTGTGTACTTTGATATAAAATGATGGAGGTGTTGTTAGAGGAAGACTTGAGTTGTATCTATGAATTCTATCCATCCGTAGTTTTTTGAAAGTTTTTAAATAATCCCACCTTAACTATCTTGCTCAGCTCTCGTAAAAGCGTGTGGCTTATCTTCTGGTGCTACCGTATCCACTGGCGCTGTGCTGACGAGAATCCACCGATTATATAAACTGTAATCCAATAACAGTGTCATAATAGAAATTCGACAAGGTCCTCAGAACCCCGCATCAGTATTTTCCTCAGTATTTCCCTCAAAATATCTATTCAGCATTGACCAAAATATTAGCCGCAACCCTTTGAAAGGCAGCCTTCTTGCAAAAACGTAACTTCATCAGAACTTTGAAAAGCTTGTTTCGCTGCAACAGCCAGAATCTTATTCGCTCGCGTTGGCGTATTTTGCATACGCCTGTGGATATTAAGACGATCAGTAAACAATTATGCATGCATTATAAGCCAGTACATCACATTCTTCCAAGGTCAATGTACTTATTGATACCGGTTTGATTTAAACAACTTTCAGGCGGTTTATGTGAAAAAAATTTTGGAACCGAAAAAATGAGGTAAACTGTTTGTCAAGCACACAACTAAGACGACATAAAGCAGAACTTGTCATTGAAAAAATTTAGGACGCACGTATGGAAAAACGCACTTTGATAAGATTCCTTGGTATCATGTTGCTTAGTGAAACCACACATGGACGACTAAGGGGAGATATAAAATAGGCGGTCTCTGTAGCAGTCAGACTGCGCGAGATCCAGTTTATACCACCTTCAGAAATAGGGAATAGATGAGTGGGGACTATTAAATTAGGGCGAGCGCCAACCCAATAATTTTTGAATGCAGAATTTCTTTTCACCCTTCGGACCACAACAACCGTGGCTCAACCTAAGAGTGAGACAGAGGCCGGAGTCTGGTTATCTGAAAACTGCATTTCGTGTTATATTAGGTAGCTGATTAGTTGCCGAATTTGAAAGTCAATCGGCACGGCCATTATGGTTATAGCTGCTCTGTGCAACGCGACCAAATCCCATAAAGGGGTGTAGCACGTGATGGTGAACAACGAACTTCGTACTTCGATACGAATCAGCGAATATCATCATCATCATCATCAAATGCAGCAACATCGGTGTTGACACTGATGCTTCACTGCCGTACAAGAATGGGTTGTACCGCAAACAGAAGTTCCGGCTTTGAGTAGCGCTTTGGATATCTTTCCACAGTGGCCGTCTATATCCGACACCGTGCTGTCCGGCAGGCATTCGAGGAGCTGGTACTTGTAGGTTCATTTCGGGTACAGTAGTTTCTCAATGGCCAAGCTAGTTGCACGCGTTTTACGTAGACCTAAAAAGCACAATGAAAAGTAGCGATGCATGGTTGGAGTCCATGCTGGCGTTCCAGAAGGAGCGGCGGAGATGATCGACCCCCACTACTGATAACTGACGGCGATGTGGCCCAGTTGAGTTCGTGGACACCACATTGTCAAGCGATGTCCGCCGTTCCGGAAATCCGTACTGCAAAGGAACAGTCTGTGATCGGCACCACACCTGAATAAGCGACCCTCGTTTTCCGTGCGTCTCGCGCCCAAAGCAAGATGATCATCCGATTGGGCCTCAGCAGCGCTCAGTCTACCTACCTGGGCGTTCATGTCACCAGCAACCACAACAATATCCGAGCTTTTAGCCTGCTGTGCAATGGCACCTAGAGCTTCATAGAAACTGTCCTTGGCAGATTCAGGGCTACAGTTAGTTAGGGCGTAAGCAGACACAGTAACCGAGTTGCGATGAACATCACTTCTCTCACAAATGTCAAACAAACCTCACAGAGCAGGTTATCAACGGGTGTCCGATCAAGCAGAGACGCCTCCACTCGTTCGCTTAATATAATAACCGCCCCAGCATATCCAGCTGCAGCGGCCTCTGCATCACCAGGGATGCACAGCCGGAATCTGGAAGAAAGCGAGGAGGCAGTACAGTACTTGCGTCATGCGTCCTTGTTTCTGACAGACAACAGACATTAATACCGAGGGATCCAACGTACGCACAAGAGCCACCTGTCGACCTGCTTGCTTCAGTGTGCGAACAATAAACGTGGCTAAGTAGACAGGGATTTGAAAACAGGCTTCGAAATGCTTGGGGTTATAACTGAACTCGGACGTGAGGAAGCTGCATCTGGGTGTGATGCAGGACGATCTGGAGCTCGGTCCTGCGAACAAAGTATTCAGATTTGTATGGAGAAGGTTGGAGGACGAAAAAAGTGAAAGTATAAGAGGGGAGGCATCAGCAGTAGCATGTTTTCGCTTACCCGCCCTGCTTTATGCAGCGATTAAGGCGACCCGGCTGATGGCACCACGCGACGGCCGATGAAGAATGAGAGTATTGTTAGTTGTGCATGTATTTCATGTTGTACGAGGACTTGGACGCTGCCAGGGCGCCTTAGACAAGAGGACAATTAAGATCCTCAACCAAAGCATTTGGCTCAATAGTCTAACCTTAAGGCAGCGGTGTTGGCTTGGAACTGCCAGCACAATAATATTTTTACGAAACACGTTGCCACAAATGTTTCAACCCCCAACCTGGGAGGCCAGGAAACCTTGAACCATTGACTAGCCTGGTGTGAGAGTCTCTGAGAGTCGCGCAGACACTCCCCAGTATAGCTGGATGGGTCACCAAGGTACACAAAGCGCCACACCACGGTAAGATCCAGTCTCTTCGTGGTGGATAGCAAACTCACATCTCCGGAATGATGCTCAGTATCCAGATTATTATGCCAGAGGCAGCACATCCAGCCTAGCTTGGTATGTTTGATCTCACTTGTCTGCAGTAGATGGATAGTATTCATTTAGACAAACGTGGGGTCATGTGCTTTCTGAAGGTATTTCAGTGTAAAGCATCCATGTGTTTGTAACTTACTTAACACCTATTACTCCCTGTCATACCGGAGATTGGTACTATTTGATAAGTCATGGGAGAATCTAATGCAGTGGATAGATGGGACCGAATGGAGAGTGTATATAAAAAAACCGCCCATGTATTGCGACGACGGACCGGAGCTGCTTCGATGTGCTTGGGGTTATAACTGAACTCGGACGTGCAGAAGCTGCATTTGGGTGTGATGCAGGATGATCTGGAGCTCGGTCCTGCGAACAAAGTATTCAGATTTGGATGGAGAAGGTTGGAGGACGAAAAAAGTGAAAGTATAAGAAGGGAGGCATCAGCAGTACCATGTTTTCGCTTACCCGTCCTGCTTTATGCAGCGATTAAGGCGACCCGGCTGATGGCACCACGCGACGGCCGATGAAGAATGAGAGTATTGTTAGTTGTGCATGTATTTCATGTTGTACGAGGACTTGGACGCTGCCAGGGCGCCTTAGACAAGAGGACAATTAAGATCCTCAACCAAAGCATTTGGCTCAATAGTCTAACCTTAAGGCAGCGGTGTTGGCTTGGAACTGCCAGCACAATAATATTTTTACGAAACACGTTGCCACAAATGTTTCAACCCCCAACCTGGGAGGCCAGGAAACCTTGAACCATTGACTAGCCTGGTGTGAGAGTCTCTGAGAGTCGCGCAGACACTCCCCAGTATAGCTGGATGGGTCACCAAGGTACACAAAGCGCCACACCACGGTAAGATCCAGTCTCTTCGTGGTGGATAGCAAACTCACATCTCCGGAATGATGCTCAGTATCCAGATTATTATGCCAGAGGCAGCACATCTAGTAGGAGCACACAGACATCAAAGTTGGCCCAGTCTTGAGTTGTAATTTGCACGCCTTACAATTTATTCTAGACCATCCCATAGATCTAATAGCTAAGTGCCAAGAAGTTGCTGCAGTGGCATTACATGGGACAGGTAGGCACTG